TTCTATTTGCTTATCTTGTTGTTTATCAAGCTGTCTATCCGTATGCTTATCTGCCTATTTGTTCGTCCATTTATCTTTCGTCCGTTGGAGGAATGGCAACGTAAAACTTTAACTAAAAGGTCTGATATCTGGCATATACGTTCTTAAATGATTTCGAAAATAAACGTCATACAGCCATCTTTACGATTATGGCAAAAAAAAAAAAACGTGGCGCTTATAATCTGTAGTAGGTATTGGTATGAACATACATACATTTACAATCACTATTGAAATGAAGTGAACAGGACCTGCATTTCCAGAGATGTCTACGGTTCAAATAAACTCTAACTTCAAATCTCTAAGAGGTCTAAAGCCTGTTCAAATATTTGTAAGAGTCAGTTAAACAACCAATGCAAATATCGTCACGCCCGATCAATTGACTCGCCTACATTTAATAAAATATTTTGCTCTTATAATGTGTCAGTTTGCGTGTGAATGTTTATACTCTTTCTCTGGCCGTGCATCTATGCGTTCCTTTCAGAGTTCTCAAGTTGGTATGAAAAATTGAACCTTGGCCCTAAGGTACTCGAGTAAGAGCACGCTCACAGCACGATCTATAACGTTGAGAAATGATTACTGTGTTAACGGGAAAAATTTACCAATAACTTGTCACCGTATACCACATCCGATCATTACAAATTCGGAATAGTTTTCGAATATCGGACATTTGTTGTACTGTGGGATAAATCACATCTTTACGACGAAGATAGTGGATAGGTGTAATGAGAAATATAGGACCATTTATATTAAAGCATTAACCACATCTTGTAGGCAATGGGTTTGCGTGCCTATAAAACCGGTTGCACACCGTGTATGCAACAATAGTCATGAACGATTATAGTCATTCTAAGTAAAGTAGTGCCCGAGATAAGATTTAGCCTCTAAACTGAAACTAAACTGGATTGAAAACTTAAAACATAATAAACTGCATATGTTCATATCGATAGCAGATTAGCTTGCAGCAACAGGCCATCCATCAACTAGCTAAGATAGAGGCTGGATGGATGATTTTCATCCATTTATATTTTTTGATAAGTCATTTTATTGTAAAACTTTTTGATCAGAAATGGTTTTATTCTAATATTTGCACTGGTTTATCGCAATCAAAATGGTGGAGCAATTCTCATTTAAGCGATTTTTATGACTTTCTCGACAAGTCGTGCTAATGATGTACCTGCACTGCTAACAGCTACAATTTACCAATAGTTCCTGTTAAGCCTAATTGGACTTGGAACCATAATCAATTTTGGTGCTCGTTTGTAGTAAAATAAACCAAAATTACAAATTTTAAAACGTTTCTACTAAGTTGTCCTGGAAATTAACTAACTTCCTTATGTCTAAATGTTCCATCACAACATTATTGTGTAAATACATTTTTTGGGCGAGCATACGTCAAGACCTTAAAAAAACTAAGTTTTCCATTATTAAGTAATAATAGAGTAAGGCATCACATGGCGTCAGACTTCACTGAACTTTGAATTTTCCCATTGTTTTACTTTTAATTTTCAGAAGCATATAACGCAAGGAGAACAAGAAAAAAATGTATAATAATGAAATTACATTCCTTTTATGACGAAACTTGGTTATCTTCAATTCGTTGCAATATACAAAGAAGTGCGTGTTTTCTTAAATATGGACTCTTAAGAATATCCTCTAAAAGTGGAACCTTTTTCATCGGTGGCAGAGGAGAGAAAACATATTGAAACATCATAATTTTCTTTAAACAGTTCACGCGTATTTACTTACGCCATTTTGCATTTCCCCGAGCTTAGTGACTTTGAGAATTCAAAGTATATTCGAATGAAAGGACACTCAGATATAAGCATTTTATGGGTTCTCTTACCTTTTTCATCGGTGGCAGAGGAGGGAAACCATATTGAAACATCGTAATTTTCTTTAAACAGTTCACGCGTATTTACTTACGCCATTTTGAATTTCCCCGAGCTTAGTGACTTTGAGAATTCAAAGTATAGTCGAATTAAAGGATACTCAGATATAAGCATTTTATGGGGTCTCTTACGCTTTTATCCGACTATCGTCGAAAAACCGTATAGGTGCACTGCTAGTTTTCGATAATAGATTCTATAGATCGACAAACAGTTGTGCCTTCTTTAACATGCGTTTACATGAATGGTAGAGCATTTGTTTTTGGTTTACTTACATATATCATGATTTGAGAGTTCAATAAATTTTATAGTTTTCAAATGCATTTTCTTTCCTTCCATTATAAACATAACGTCTGCAGAGGTATCGAAGCATGGATACTTTTATTTATAGGAATAAATGGAGCAAATTCTCATCTAAGATTAGAATAATCGTAAAATTATGTGTATGCGTATTCGATATTCATTTCTATATTGCTTTACCAGCTATTAGTATAGTTATCAGCAAGCATTGCTCAATTGCTGCACATTTAATAGCATTTTCACGTTTCTGTTATGGTTTTAATTTAAATATTGAAATTTAAATGGAATTTATTTGTACATGCACCGGTCCGTCTATTTATGCGAGTTGCTCTTCTTTTTTTTTTGTTTTTGCAAATGTATTCGTTTATAAATTATTAAATTAATTATTTATTGGCTTGTAATTAGTTTATTGTTGCGAGAGATCAAAAAAAAAAGTTAACCCGTTTTATTCATTTATTCATTTATTCTATTTTATATTCTTTTCATACCTAAATATTGATTCTGTATGTACGGTGACGTATAAGTAATTTTAATATATTTTCTCATATTTATAAGTCATTCATTCGCCAGCGTCAACGAGTAAGAATTTTTAATTAATTAAATAACAGGTTTGGTAAATGCATAGGCAGAGACAGAGTAAAGAGAGGCTTGTGTCGAATAAGCGAATTGTCTAATAAATGTTTTAGATCTTTTGTGCTATTATCAAAGGTGCAACGATATTGAGATATTGATATGACTGCCAAATGCAACTTGCTCGCACTTTCTCTATAGGTATTTGCTTGAGGTTATTATGAAAAACTTTAGTACCTTTCTACCTACCTAAGTCACTTGTGAGGAGGGTATGTTATGATTTTGTTGGGTGGAAGGGTTTAAAAGAGACTCTCCATTCAACGGAATCATTTTTTTAAACGACTCAAATCTGTCTATCCGTCTGTCCTTTTAATGTTAATTCATGCATGAATGTTTTCAAGATATATGCAGATAGTTGATATTTGTACAGTGCGAGGATGACTCAAGTTGAAATCCATTTCTATCATTTCTCCCAGTTGCGTTAAGATGGCGTACAGAAAAAAATGTATGGCAACTTTTTGAGCAAACTAAGTAAAAACATACTGAATAAATGTGTGAAAAATGTAGAAAGGATGGCGGAAAGACAAGTCTTTCAAGTCTTTCCTCAATATAAAGGCACTTACGTAAGAATGTATTTTTAGTACCTTATGTAAAAGTTGATCGCAGATATGCACAGAATTTTTCCGTTAAGTTCATCGAAAATTAAATTAAATTTCGTTTTCATTCTATTATTGCACAATTTTACTTTAGCGGGTTTTATTGCAAACCTATCGAATCACTCGTCCTTATTCTATACGATATAGTCAATCAATTTTGCTTGCGTCTCTACACATATGTAGGTTGTAGGTAATCTTTGTTTTTACATTGTTTGTTTAAGCTTATGGAGACGTTTTTTTCTTTCTTTCCTGCGCTCTAGAACTTTATCATAAAAAAAAAAAAAAAAACACAGCAACACGAATAGACACTTTTAACTCGTCCAGAGAGATTGCAATTGACGATGATACGAAAAAATAATATCGTTAGAAAAGCACAAATAGAAGCAAACTTAGCTGGAGGTTTTACATGGAAAAAGGAAACATATAAACCGTGAGCTCTCTTTTTTTATACACATCGCTGACAGATGCGGAGTGCATTCATTTTGTCAAAACGTTTGCAATGCCCAGAAGGAAGCTTCAGAGGCAACATGAAGTATATATCTTCTTGATTAGTTTCAAATTATGAATGGGTTTAAGCATGTCCTTCGGTCTGGTTATCCATGTGTCCGTCTGTTGTGTGTCTTTTACGTCTGTTGTGAACCTTATCTTGTTTTCGAAAGTTTCAAAGTTAGCAGAAACATTGGAAGCTCTTGCTCGCAGGTTGGTATCAAAAAATGGGCCAAATCATTCGAAGGACATGCCTACAGTACTACGTAAAGTGAGAATATCTGTGTTTTCTAAAAGGAATAAGAAATTGTTTTTGTTCATTATTCAGAAACTACAGCAGATAAATCGACAAAAATGTGAACATATATTCTATAGCCGATGCTGCAGTATATGTGCAAAAATGATGAAATCGATCACGCCTACCAAGTATTATACTATAAAAAATTGTAATTTTTTTTCAATACTCTTACAATGCACAGGAGTAACCCCACCCCGTAAAGTATATAAATTCTTGGCCAGTTTCAAAGTTGGAAGGCACTTCTGTCCATCTGTCTGTCTATCCAACTATGTAGTCTTCCAGTTAGCGAAAATGAATACTACACTTTCCAAGGGACACCTCTACAACGCCCATACGCCTATGCGATGAAAGATTTTATTTTGAAAATAGATAAAATCAGTCGTGCCCACTGCATATTGTAGAGGATGAGAATGTGGTTTTTTTTTTTTTAAATTTTTTTTGTCCTTTTTAGTATAACGATGATGGGTATAAAAGATTCGGTCAGGATCGAATGTTTCTTACTTGTTTTTCATTAAAGCACAAAAAATGTTTTCATGCATCATAGTTCTTACTCGAGGGAGTTGAAATTTGATTAAGCTCGGAATACAAAACTTATCAAAGTCATAATTGTGCGGTTAAAGGCGAAACTTGTTTTCAAAATACTAAAGAGAATTTTAAAATTCATAAATTTAATGCGGGAAAACTAAAATACAATATTTTTCTTTTGTTTTTTGTTTTTTTTTTTTTTTTTTGTGTGTTGTATATAAAGCATTTCTTTCTCTTTAGTTAAATGCCTTGTGAGCAGCAATCGGAAGATGTTTGATGCATATATGAAATGAAATAAAAAACCAGATTTCATTCGAAAAATTCACAGTTAAAATGCGTTAATAAAACTGCAATCAGCCAGTGTCAGCTAGTCTATCACGGACAAACCAAGTACAATGAATACGTCCAGCACACATTCGTTTGCGTCATCTGCATCTGTATATGCATCAGCTACAAACTTTTTTAAGAATGATTTAATCCCGTCTACGGTCACCCATTCATCACAGGATGATCTGGGTGATATTAATCAAAGCGCTGAGTTACAATGTCTACTGCAAGAGCACATTGATGCAACGACCTTTGGCAATACCACCGAATACTGTCTTACCCAATTTGATACGATACTCTGTTGGCCACGTACATCGCGTGCTACCATAGCGTTGCTGCCGTGCTTGGATGAATTTCAAGGAATACAATACGACAGTACACGTAAGTAGTTATAGATGAACACTCAAACACTCAAACGTTACAGGAGCTATAGATAACTTCTCTTATGTCTCTCGTTAACACTTTGCTTACAAATATATTCTTAACGAAATTTACATTTACCCAAAGGCTGACTGACAATGGTATTCTTTGTAATATATTGATAGTATTTTCTTTTTTTTTTATGATTTTCTTTTGTTTTTCTAGCAAAAGTTTTCTTCTCTGTTTTTCTCTCCATTTCATCTTAAGTACGATAAAAGTTTACATATGTGAAGGATGTTCATTTATAGTAAACGAACAGTTGTACATATAAATGCATATATATATATATATATATATATAAATATTATCGGATATTTATGCACATATTTTAAGGAACCACTCGAGCAGTTACAAGTCGGAATTTCTTCAAAACTTAAAAGAAGAATGCAAGAAAATTTCGATCAAGGACCTTTATACTACACATTTTCACATATGTTATCGTGTAATTTTCTTTCATTTGCAACTTTTCACATTTCCTAAATTTACATCAAATGGAAACAGTTAGTGAAAAAAAAGGAATTTCGAAGAGAAATCTTTCGCTTCCCTAAGAAAGCAACAAGCAAGGTTCTAAAGAAGATCTTAATAATGAAGCTTGATTGCAAATCCTTACTTTAAAGGCCATGTACACACATGCACATATTGTCATAGGTAACTTAGTTAAAGCAGGACTGGATTTCTTCCCTGTTTAATAAAAATTTATCTTGAACTCAGCTAAAGAGGTAAAAGTTAAAGGTTCTCCAAAAAACTGTTAAAGCTTCTTAAGCTCAGGGGTGAGATATCTAGAAGAGACGAGTTATCTATCCATAAACTGCTCTACACTTAACAATTTTTAATCGATTGAAACCCAAATACTCTGTCAGCCCGTAGGGAACTTTACCCTCAAACAATAACTAAATTTGTTATGTTCGTCTGCAATGAGCAATCAGTCATAGAACGGCATGCTATCAAGGAAGTCAAATAAGACCCTCATGTAAATGGGCACGACATCGTCAAAGATCTTGCTATTATCTGTCACCAGACCATTTATAACCGTGAATATCCCACAGATTTGTTTCTATACATAAAGCAGATATTTGCGCTCTGATCATTTGTGATTCATGTCTTTGCTAAACTATATTTTAGAACTACACGGTATCGAAATCCCAGTTTTTTTTTTTTTTCAATATGATCAATCAGTAAGGGCTCGTCTGCTATGTGCCAGTCAGAAAGAAATGGGAAAGGAGAGAAAGAAGTAGGGAGTGTCTAATAGCCATGTGCGCAATCGGGAAGTGTTATGCCCTTACAGATTTTGAGATCCCACAGAAGCTGCGATCAAGTACGGTAAGAATGCACTCACATTTGAACTCACAAACACCGGCCTGGTAGCTGCAACTCTTGTCTGCTTGCTCATGCGGGATAAAAATTTAATAAAAATAAGCACCATAGTCAGGAAAGGTAGAAAGTGGAAAGCCAGTGTATAAATTCGGGACATCCTTAATGCTGCTTATTCCTTGATGCCAAATCCGGCTGGGTAGTCGACTATCAAATCAGTGTTCGCGGGTTCAGATCTCAAATGCGGTAACGTCTTCTTTGGTCGTTGCTATCGTAAGCCGTCGTATAGCGCTTGCTGGATAAATGCATAATACTTATCGATTGGGCCCACACCCACTGGTCTGAAGCCATTGCCTTCCCATTTCTTTCTCTTTCCTTTCTTCTTTCTGACAGTTATAGTGTCAAACGAATAGGGGACATACACTGAGTGATCGGTCACATTGAAGTATTATTTCAAATTTAAATCATTTTTTCTAGGATATAATTGCTTGTCCACTTGTATGGAAGATATCCTGCAGATTATTTTTAAATATGTATTAAATCGCTATTACTAGAGTTTTCTATTTTTATGTACAAGGTGTGTGCGGGTATATGTAACACCCACCAGGACTTAACGCAGATTCACCTCTTATTATATCCAGCGGTTTCGAATCACTCTCTGAGTCAATTTAAGCTTGTCTGTCCGTATGTCCATTTACCTGAAGGAAAAGGTCTTAATATGCAAGAATTAGCAGTATTTCGGTCAAACAAAGTGATGCGAGTTATTTTGATAGGATCTGCAAATATTTTGAACTTCCTTCTGTATGACTGCTTCTACAAAAAAAAAAAAAAATTATCTTTAATTTTACAGAATAACAAGATTCAGTTTTTACAAATTTATTATGGAAAATGTTATCGGATTTAGTGTATAAATTTGCGGTTATACATTTGGATAAGTCAATTTTTGGGTTCCTTTCCATTTATAGGCCTTCTTTTAACAACAAGGTGTAAGGTTTAAGTGTTTTGAAAATAGGTGAAAAATAACAAGTTTTGGATAAAAAAAGTTAGTTTTACCATATGTGGCCCATATTGCTTGCAAGCAATTTAAGAAGAAGGGAGGGAGGCATAGTGAGAAGACTAATTAAAAAGTAGACGCTTAGATAATAGCGAGGTTATGATTTTTACTATACTATAACGAAAATATATAAAATAGATTATGAGAGGAAGTGACGGAAGGTATTTATTGCTCGCTATTTTCCTTTCTTTAACTTTCAGAAAATGCCACACGCTACTGCCAGGCGAACGGTACATGGGAGAAGTATACAAACTATGATGCCTGCATGCATTTACCCGCGACCGTTACTGTTCCCGAATTTGAACCAATTATAGAATTGCCGACAATTATTTATTATATCGGTTATACCATTAGCCTAATATCGTTAACGATGGCAATTCTCGTTTTTGCATATTTCAAGTAAGTATTGTTATCGCAAAAAATTACATAAATAACAAAAGTAATAAAAGCCAAATGAAAGCAAAAACCGAAAAATGTATTTGAATCTAACGAAAAAAGTAGGTAAAAAGCAGCAGGGGAAGGCATTGGCCGTAAGGAAAAGATTCAAATCTTGAAATGTTTTCTCCACTTGATCTCAAAACAATGACATAAAGTTATTCACGTCGTATAAGTAATTAGCACAAGTATTGCACAAGAGAGAATGAAAAAGAGTGTTGCCTTTAATTTTATACCCCCTATAGGGTTGTTATATATATGTACATATCTATGTATATATATATATATTTTTTTTTTTTCTTTCTCACAGAGTTTTAATTAAATGCTCCTTTTGCCCCTCACTAAATCGTTTAGCTCATATCGCATTTCATAGCATACAGTTTGTAAATGACTTAAACTGAAATGCTCGTCATTTCGAGTATACCATCAACCAAAATAAACTAAATGAAAGAAAAACAAAAAAAAAAATAAAATAATAAATAAATAAATAACGATAACAATAGTAAAGCCAACAATAACAATAAACATATAAAACCAATGTGAATAATTTTTCTGGCTTTCTTTCCTCTCTTGGTTTTTTTTTTTTTGCTTTTTTGTAATGCACCCCAAGGGAATTACGTTGCTTGCGCAATTCCATACATGCGAATTTGTTTTTCACTTACATAATGTCAGCTTTGCTATGGATTCTTACGCTGAGTGTACAGGTACGTAAAATGCATATACAAACACATATGCAATACATGGATACACAAATGAATCTCAACTATTTGTTATGGCAAAGGATAATAATATACCACATACAGTGCATAGCGTGTAAAGCTATTTATTTATTCATGTAAAATGCATTTGTTAACACACATTTAAAATTATTTTACGTGTTAACTTTGCCAAAAAAAAAAAAAAAATAATAATAAAAAAATTCATAAAATTCCATAAGTATTATAAGGAGGATACATACATGCGTTATTCTATTCAATGATTTGGGGCAAATTATCGAATTTATTTTTTATTCTTATTTTTTGTATTATATATACATACGTTGGAGAAAGGATTTTTTCGAAACCTCAATGAATCATTTATTTATGTAAATTTTTTTTTCTTTTTCTTTTCAATTTCTTATGATTTTCATTTCAGATATCTTTACGTATTAGCTTGGGTAGCTGCATTATATTGGTGGTGCTTTTTCATTTCTTTACGTTAACAAATTTCTTTTGGATGCTTGTTGAAGGTAAAAAATAGCTTTAAATTAATTTAAATTTTCGAAAAAAAAAGAAAATAAATGACGAAAGCTTTCCTTAACAATAGCGAAGAAAGTGACAAATATATGAAAAATATTTTTGGCATACACTAACCTTAAAGGGCGTCTTGAACATTCGTAACATAACCTTAAACAAATATATATAAATTTAACAAAGAACGCATCACTTCAATGAAGACTATTTTTGCCATGAGGTTGTTGAAAATCCCGTTAGTTGGATTCCATTTGAAGTTTGAGATGGATAAGAATTATTTCAAACTACGTATCTGTGTTCCGTGTATGTGTATGTGTTGCTTTTGAGAGCAGGATGAGTTGGTTAAAATGCATTCTTGACCGACTTTCCAACAAACTTGCAATGCAAGCCGTTGCATGTGGATGGAATTGTAATTGCCAATACGTTTGTTGCATCGGTTCAAACATAATTGTATATGAAAATAGGTAAGAACGCTATAGTCGGTTACATTGGGTACGCCACAACACTCTGGCATAAATTATGCATTATTTTTATGTAAATGCTTAATATTCGTGAAAGCATTTATATTAGAGGATACTCGTCGTGAAACGTCAACGTGGTCTAAATTTAAAAAGACCGTCAAGGCTGCAAATTCCCTGCGCTTGATCTACTAAAGACAAGTTTTCATCATAAAATATTAAAAATTGGACATTTTTGGCATATGAAGCTTTCTTTTTCGCGAGAAACCCTATATAGATTTGGTATTCAAAAGATAGACCTACGGAGTTTAAGTTCGATAAGTTCGGTTAATTGTTATGTCAGATTATTACTATCAGCGAATTTTCAGTAACAACTATTGAAAATTCGGGGGTTTTAATCCCATCAAGACGCAATTTTCTTAGGAAGGGTTATAGGACAACGGTTTCAAGCAATTGCCCTATCCGATGCAAAGTTTTCACACCCACCTAGAATAACGAAAAACTACTACCAAGCCAAGTTAAGTTCCGAAATTCTAAGAATTACAGTAACTCTCACATAAGGACTTATAAAAATAAGGCGTAGTCCTTGAGATAAAACACGCCAGAATATTAAATTTCATCAAAATATTCCGAAATTGCCGACCTGTAGAGTGAACACTACAATACGTGAACAGTCATCTGATCAGATAGCCAAAAATCTTAGCAGAATCACTTCGTGGGTATTATAAAAGGTGGGCCTATGTTAAGCTCTTTTGGGTGTCCGCACAAACTTATTATACCCTGTGCTACAAGTAGTGTAGGGTATAAAAAGTCTCTTTCTAGTCACATGCTCTCATCGATGCTAGGCGGCTATAGGACTCGGACACGTTAGTTGGACGTACACGCGTGTGGACAGAAAAACCGGTGCATTTTTCAATTCTATGCCACAGCAATTGCCGCAAAACTCACATAATGTTCTTAAATTCGGTAAAACTACTCGAAATTAATTTCGGAAGTCCCACCCGAGCTCTTGGCCCAAGAATTTGAGGGAGCTTACCTTACCCTAGTAGCTTTTACATGTGAGTAGCCCTGTTTAAAATTGTAGAAGTAGAGTCTATTCTTTTTTTTTTTTTTTGTAATAGAATCCAACCACTTAGGTAATGTCCCCTATTCGCGTTATAAGGTGACGATCAGAAAAAAATGAGGAAAGAGTTAGAAATAGGATGATCGTGGTTGTAACTTAGGGACTGAGGGTTTACGATAGCATCAACCAGAGAAAACTCTACCGCACTTGAGATTTGAACTCATGGACACGAAGTTGGTTGTCGCGGTTTTTACCTATTCGGGTAGTCAGACGATTGTGGAGATTATAAAGACAAATCGTATTTCTTGAGAATAAAATGCAATATGAATTAAGTTTTATTATAATATTTGCTGGGTCGAGGACATCATTGTAGCGAAAAAGCAATACGGCTAACTTCAACTTCGAAATCGGGAAAAATCGTAAAAATTTATTGCCACATTACTAGACCGGTCGCAAAACTTTGTGACGAATGCTTTGAAGCGGGAAAAAAGCACTGAGAGATGCAGGAAAATAAAAAAACTGATCTCGATATCTTCATCGACCGTTATTAGGTACCAATCTACCATTGACATAAAAATTGCAGGGGAACCAGAAGGCGAAAAAGTGGAGAAAAATATACTTTGTTTTTCAACATTCAAGGCGGCTACAGAATTTAACACGATTACTAAACGTCATCTAAAATGTGCGTTAGCGTCGCTAGAAAGCTGAATTGCACGATACGAACCCCTACAGTTATGTTAAAGGTAGCCCAAGTAAAAAATAGGGATAAAGCGCTTGAACAGTGCTTATCACCTTTATTTATATCTAACTTATAGGTGAACGTATCAGCTAAACCCCGTTTAATGGTTTACTCTGCAGAGTATTTACTGACTCAGGTACCACATAGAATACAGTTCTTTCTTGAGCTATGGGTTGAGAAACTCTTAAGCTTTAGGTATTCTAGTCTTACATGAACAAAATTGATTTTTAATTTCAGTTTACTTTCATCATATTTACCTGTGCGTGTACAGGCATTTACGGCAATTTCACATGGCCGCAATTTAGTACAAACACTGATATTTATTTTGCGGTCGATTGTTTGTTTTCAAATTTCAGTGATGGTTTCTATGACAGATTTATGTGGAAAAGCGGCATTCGAAAATCGAATTTTCACGAAAGGGGCAGAAGCCATCATTTTACCCCATGTCCGACTGATCCTCGTACGTATCGCCAAAAAATTTTTAAAGGATTTGAAAACGACCGAAACTGCTGAAAAGATACGCTTGCAACGCCCACATGCCTATCCAAAAAAACCAAGACCTCATAGAATACAGCACACCATATGAACATCTACTTTCATTCTGAAAATAGGAAACATCAGCCGAGCCCATCCGATGTTATAGATTATGAAAATTTAGTTCTCTTCTTTTTTTGTCTTTTTTAGCATAACGGTGAGGGGTATAAAAGATTCGGGCACAACCGAATATCATTTTCTTATTCGTTTTTATTTCAAATTAAAATTTATTGATCACCCTCTATATAGCGTATTAGCTTTAATTCTTTGTTGTTTGAAAAATTCTTCAAGTCAAATTTTTTTATTTTTACTTGTCTCATACAGATTGAGGTTTGTAGTAGTGTGAATTTGTTAGAAATTTTATTAAAACTGACAAATATATTTTTCTTAACTATTTAGAGAAATATAAATATATTTGTACTTAACATACATAATGGCTGAGGAAGATAAAAAGCTGGGGCATGAAGATTCCTTTATGGGCGAAAACTCCACGGCGGGCAATACTTCTGTAGCGCCCGAAAGCCCAATTGCAGACCGTAGCTACGAAATAAAAGAAATCTTTGTCGGTAGCGAAAGTTTTGGGGTGGGACGAAGATCCAGTTCGGCGGTAAGCCTCGAGATACCCGAATACTATCCAGTCGAGCTCGTAGCAAATAAAAGCTGCACAATAAACGAACTGGAGAAATTGGGAAATAAAGGGAGAACATCTCCGAATACTACGAAAAGTGGAAGTGACTTCCTAACTGATGACAGGGTGAACCAAAGTCCAACAACGTCCAAGAGTTTAGTAGCGATCCAAAGCTTCACAACGGACCAAAGGTTGATAGAAGACCAAGGACTCGTAGCAAAGCAAATGTCTGTAGAAGATCAAGAGTCCACACCAGAACCAGAGTCCATAACAAACTCAAGCTCTGTAAAGAGCACTTCTTCTATAGAAGATAAAAATAACATATGGATATTTATGGAAAGCTTAATAAAAGACGAAATGAATGCAAGCTCCTCAGGGTACAAAGCGCAAGGATTATCAAGTCACCGTCCAAAACCTAAGTCAATATCATCACGCACTATGGTAACGAAGGCATTTAAATCACTAAATTCTCGGGAAACGCTATCTCTGGCAGCAATACGTAATTTTGTATCGGAAAATTATAATCTGTTTGACAAGGCTCTTAAACTGCGTATGGGCTATATAAAGCGGTATCTAAACAAGAGCTTGGAATCAGGTCAGTTAATACGTGTGAGAGGTAAAGGTCTGCGCGGCTCCTTTCGTCTCCCTAAAAAAAAAGGGCGGCGCCAAACAAAAACCGGCAAAAAGAAGCAAACAACTACGACTCGTAATAACCCGTTGGAAAAAAAAGTAAAATCTGAGAACCAATAGACCACGAACGCCAATCATGCGATTATGATCAATGCCTTTATTTTAATTTTTTTTATAAAACTTTATTTTGTTAAAAAACTTAAAAGATCTGTGATTAGATCAACAAAAATATATACAACTTTGTGCAATTTTTTTAAATAGAATGATTTCTGTGTTTTGTTATAGATATTTGTATATATATAGCTCGAATTATAGGGCGGCTTATTGAAACATTAGGTATATGCGTGAGCGTCGATTCGGTTTTTGCTGAATTCGTGATTGCAGATAAAAACCGTAAAATATACAGGTGTTCCTTATCAGATGAAATTTTCGGGTTCATTTATTAATCGTCTTGCAGTCCTACTTTTTATTGAAAGGATCGCGAAAACTGAAAGAGGATCTAACAAGTAGGCGCTTGCTTTGCATTTATGTTTGTTTCTTTCTTTTTGGCTACTTCTGTGGTATCGCAAATTTTATACCCGGCGCCGCTTAAGTTACAAGTCAAGTCAGTGAGGATTTATACAATACCCAGAAGGACTTGAGATAGGATTTATGTTTTCTTATACTGGGGAAGTGATTTGAATCAGTCTAAGCTTGTCAGTACATTTTCTTTTCTTGCGTTCAACCTAGAAACTATAATTTTTAAGACATTACGATGGATTTGGGCACATTGGTCTTTTCTATCCCAAGAATGCATTTTACTGAAAATATTTCTAAGTGGACCATATTTTCGACAACTTCCCATATAGCACCTTATTTTAAAAGTCCTTAGATGAATAGTTTTGGGTATGTGACGATGGGGTGTGGTCTAGGGTACTTATTGGTAATCTGCGGCCAATCGTAGC